CAGCCTGCTCGAGTGGAAGGTGTCCCTGCCCGGGGCAGGGGTTGGAGCTGGAGGAGCCTCCCTTCATCCCAAGCCCTCCAATGAACCATCTGGTTGGTTCATTTTCAGGTCCATCAAGATGCTGCAGGTGCCACTGCCCCTGGACCGCGATGGGATCCTCTTCCGGCTCCGCTTCACCACGCTGGCTCTGGGGACTGTGTTTTGCCCTCTCTTTGGGTTCCTGTTCTGTGTGATCTGGTCTCTGCTCTTCCATTTTCGGGAGACGACAGCGACTCACTGCGGGGTAAGTGACTGCGCCCTGTGGTGAGCTGTGCCCCAAAGGCTGTGCTGGGACAGCCAGGGCTGGCAGAGCTCCTCTCTCCTCCTCTGCTTTCCCACCATCGGTGCGTCAGGATCTTGAAGGAGCTGCTTTATTTTGGTGTATTTGTGGTGCTTTGGGACTGGCAGTTGAGGCTTTGGCTTTTCAAAGGGGCGCAGGGAGGTGGAGGCTGGTCAGGCAGGTGCCTGCTGAGCACAGTGGTGGGGATGGTGAGGGTAAGAGTGATGAAGCTGCAGACAGATACACTGTCTTGTGGAGAAGGAATTGCTGCTGGAGCTCTGCAGAGGAGTCACAAGCACGTACCTGGGGAGCAGGAGTTGAGAGGGACCACCTGGTTTCCAAAAGGGATGGTTTCAGGTTCCTCCTCAGCACAAAGGTGGACGAGCAGCTGGTTACAAGCTGGGAACAGAGGGCAGAAGTCCTTGTCACACCATAGGAAATGAGCCCAGGGCTTTATGAGGTCTGTGTTCCTCCTACGTAGTTGGGTGACACAGGCTGATGGTGATCATAGAATCATGGAATGGTTTGGATTGGAAAGGACCTTAAGATCATCTAGTTCCAAGCTCCCTGATGCTGAGATCCTGGAGCAGGGATGGTGAGACAGGCTGCTGCAGGGCTGATGGAGCAGTGAAATGCCAGGGCAGTCTGACTTTGGAGCTGTGAGTAATGTGCACACCCAGTGTGTGGTTCTGTGCCCCCCTCACAACTCGGGAGTAGGGGGCAGGGCAGTGAGGAGGCTCAGAGGTGTCCTGCACCTCCTGCTCCAGGGTGGTGAAGTAAGGGATCTCCAGCTGTGCATGGGAAGATACCTTGGGATGAAAGCAGGGAGAAGGGGGACAGAGGTGTGGTTGCTTGGAGAGGGCAGGGATCCAGTGCTCACCCTCTGCCAGTATGAGGAAGTACAGGACAGGGTAGGGAGCTGGCAGGTTCTGCTTGAGGAACCAGCTCCTCCTTGGATGACTGGAGAGCAGCTGATGGGGGAACACCTTTGTGCAGGACGCGGTGCACGGTTCTGCCTGGGCTCCAGGGGAGACAGAGCAGGATCATGGAAGAGGGGATTACCCGGTGCGTAGCAATCGTGACTGGCTCAGGAAGTCCCTGAGCTGGGAAGTTGCAGAGGTTGGAGTTTATTCTGTGTCTGCACTGATGGTTTTCCTGCTTTTATGTTCCTCCCTGGCCATAGTCTTTGCTGCTGGTATCATGTCTCTCCTTAGGGTTGGGCTGACAGGCCATGCACCCTCTTCTCCTCTGTCCCGAAACGTGGGGGCAGATAACATGGGGAACCACAACTGAGTGAAGGGAAGGAATAAAGACAGATGCTAAAGCTAAGAAACATGAGCAGGAGCCAAAGCAGAGCACCCCAGCCCCCAGAGACTATCCCAGCAGGGCTGGGGGATGAACCAGGGGTGCTGCTGCCACGTTACATGCCCTGGCTTTGAAATGGGAATAAACTTAGGAAAAAAAAGCTGCCCCAGGGCAGGTTTAGCTGGAGCTGAGGAACAATTCCTTGCCCAGAGGGTGCTCAGGCATTGGAACAGGCTGCCCAGGGCAGGGCTGGAGTCACCGTCCCTGCAAGTGTTCACAGCCCGTGGAGCCGAGGCCTCAGTGCTGTGGGGCAGTGGTTGGACAGATGATCCTGAAGCTCTTTTCCCGCCTGGTTGATTCTGTGGCTCCACGGCAGCAGGACACGCTCCCCGTGTCCCTCCCACGAGCTCTGTGTCTCCCGCAGGTGCCCAACTACCTGCCGTCCATCAGCGCGGCCATCGGAGGCGAGACCCCGCAGCGCTACGTGTGGCGCCTCTGCATTGGCCTGCACTCGGCTCCGCGCTTCCTGGTGGCCATCGCCTACTGGAACCACTACCAGAGCTGCCACTGCTCCCACCCGCGCTACCTGCGCCTCTGCCACTGCAACCTGCTGCTCAACCTGCTCGAGAACTTCGCCCTCCTCATCCTCACCTATGTGTCCTCCTCTGAAAACTATGGTAGGTGTTGCCTCCAGCCTCTGCATGGGCGCTGCTGAGCCTGTGCAGAGCTCTGCTTCACACCAGTGCTTTGCAAGTGGCCACTTTGGAGAAAAACAGCTAAAAAGAGAAAAAATTGTATTAAAATTGTTTTTTATAGAGCAAAGTTACGTCATGACGTGCAAATAGCCACGTTCTTCCCAAAGGTCTCACCAAGTTCTGTGTCAAGCCAAGCTCAGACTTTAGCACGTGGTTCCCGTAGAGCGCCAAGGCCATGCTTAACGTGTCCCACCATGGGTGAGGTTGGCGCTGCCCCTGCTCCACTGCTCACCTTTGGCTCTGGCTCTGAGCTGGCTGCCAGCCTGTGCTCTGCTCTTTAAATACCCTCCCCCAAAACTGGGTAAAACTTCCTGCGTTGACTGAAACCAGTCAGATTTGTCACGTGAATTCTGTGTTTGGAATATGGTCACCGTAGGCTTGGAAATGCTCCTCTCCCACCTGGCCTCGTCTGAAGTGAGCTTCAAGTGCCGGTGGCGATATCCAGCCACTGCTTAATCCTGACATCTGGAGCAGGCACCAGGGATTGACTGAGAGGGCTCAAATCCAGCAAGGTGCTGCTGCTGCAGCAGAAACACTCCTGGTTTGGGGACTCCTGGGCAAGAGTCCTGTGTTGGGCTGTTCCTGTGCACAGCTTGATGATGTTAATGGATATTGTGTCTTGCTGTGGGACCACGCTGCAGGCTGTAGTCATGAAATCTCCCAAAGAGGCCAGGCCAGAGCTCCAAGAAGAGGGTTTGGAGCTGAGGAGGGGACATTGGCATAAGAGGGTTTGTCTCCTCGCAGCAATGGAGGTGAGAACACAGCTGATACTGTACTGAGAGTATCAGAGAGTGGTTTGGGTTGGAAGAGCCCTTAAAGCTCCTCCAGCTCCAACCCCTGCCCCGGGCAGGGACACCTTCCACTACAGCAGGTTGCTCCAAGCCCCTGTGTCCAACCTGGCCTTGAACACTGCCAGGGATGGGGCAGCCACAGCTTCTCTGGGCACCCTGTGCCAGCACCTCAGCACCCTCCCAGGGAAGAGCTTCTGCCTCAGAGCTCATCTCAGTCTCCCCTCTGGCAGGTTCAAGCCATTCCCCTTGGCCTGTCCCTCCATCCCTTGCCCAAAGCCCTCTCCAGGTTTCCTGGAGCCCCTTTAGGCCCTGGAGCTGCTCTAAGGTGTCCCTTTCAGGAGCCTTCTCTTCTCCAGGCTGAACAAAAGCCACACAGAGAGCTGAGGTTAACCCAGTTTTCCCAGATCCTTTTTAACACACTAATCTCATGTCTGTGGGATAAGTTTCAGCCCTTGGCTGATGTGCCGGGATTAGACCAGGCTCAGGTTAATCATCTCTTCAGGGCATAGCTCACATCTTCACCTCTAGCAGTTGCCTTTCCCATTGCTCCTCATGTGGTTTGCCTTCTTCTGGAATCAGAGGGAAGCAGGGAAGATCATTGCTTACTTCAGGTGGTTGGGAATTCAGCCTGACGTTCAGTTCCTGGAGGAAGGGCAGGAAACTTAAATAGAAGCACACATGTGAAAACAACTCACCTGAAGTGACTTGGGTTTGTGTGGGGCTTTTGGGAGCTCCTGCTGCATTTCCAGCCTGAGCCCGTGTCTGTGCTAGTCCAGTGATGCATGAGGCAGCCCCAGTGCTGGTGGGGAGGCTGATGGCAGCTCCTAATTGGTACGTGGATAATGAGGGAGGCCAGAATATGACCCTTCCTGGGTCTTGGGCTCGCTCGCTCTGCAAGTCCCCGTCCATGCCTCAGCTGCCCCATCCCTAGCGCAGTAGTGCTGATGCTGAGCTGCTCTCCAGGCTGCTTGAGCTTTGCAGCACTGTGAAGCAATGGAGACACTCGGACCAGGTGCCAGAGCATGAAAACACCCTCCTGGCGCCTTTGGGCCGACTCTGCCCAACTCCCATCCTGCTCCTGCCCCGGGCTGCCAGGAGGTGTCATTCATGAGCTGCTATGCCCCTAAATCCCCCTTCCCCTCCTCTGCTGTGCCTGTCTCCTGCACAGACCCGGGTCCTGGGGCACAGCCTCTCCTGGGCTCCCAGCAGGACCGCATCCTGCAGAAGGCAGAGGATCCCTCACCCTCCCAGCGCCTGCCCCGTGCTCCCCTTGTGCTCCTGGCTCAGATTTAACAGGAAACCTCTTGTCTTGTTGGTGCAGCAATCCACGAAAACGCCTTCATCGTGTTCATCACCTCAGCTCTGGGCCACATGCTGCTGACCTGCATCCTCTGGAGGATGACGAAGAAACACACAGTAAGTCCCGAGGTACAGAAACTTTCCTTCTTCTTTCAGTCAGTGCTGGGTGCTGGGAGGGGCTCTTGGCTGGTGGTGGAGGGTTTGGCTGTTGCTTGGTTGTGAAATAATCATGGAATCCTGGAATGGTTTGGGTTGGAAAGGACCCCAGGATCACCCAGTCCCAACCCCTGCTCCAGGCAGGGACACCTTCCACTAGAGCAGGTTGCTCCAAGCCCCTGTGTCCCACCTGGCCTTGAACACTGCCAGGGATGGGGCAGACCCAGCCAGGGGTTAGAACTAGATGATATTACCAGCGACTTCACAAGGAAGAGCTTCTGCCTCAGAGCTCATCTCAGTCTCCCCTCTGGCAGGCTCAAGCCATTCCCCTTGGCCTGTCCCTCCATCCCTTGTCCAAAGCCCCTCTCCAGGTCTCCTGGAGCCCCTTTAGGCCCTGGAAGACTGTTACAATCACCATAACCGGGTGCTAAAGGAGTTGCTGCCACCACATGCAGCTGGGAAACACAGTCACCAAAATTCAGAGTTCACCAAAAAAAAGTGGGAGGAATCTTTTAATTTCCTTGAAAACCTCTTCATCAGTGTCCCCATAGGCTGCATTTCCTGACCCTCCTTCCCTGAGGATGCCTGTTTCCAGGCTGAAATCAGCTTCCCTGCACTGAGGAACTGGAACCTGCTGCTCCTGCAAACTGGGAGCAGGGGGAATCACTGGTTGTATTACCCTTTTTCTTGCAGGAATCTTGCACTGTGCAGGCTGCTGTGGGCCCTGCTAGGGGAATGGGGAGCTTGGGTATGCACTGGGCAGGCAGAGGATCCAGCCAGGGGCTTCTCATCCCATCACATGAATGCAGCTCTGGTGCTGTGCTGGCTTGCAGCGAGTGCTGGACCCGGGCACCAGCACAGCCACAGGCAGCAGGGCAGGATGGGCAGCTGTGAAACCCTGTATGTGAAAGCTGCTGCTGCATCTGTCTGCAACAGCTTTGCCAGGGTCTATGGGCTTCCTGGACCTCCCTCCCTTATTTTCCCCCCTTGGGGATATGTCTCACCAGCTGATGCCCAGCCCAACCCTTGCATCCCGTGGGAATGGTCCTCCCTGCACCGTGTCGCCCCAGGAAGGTGATTGCTTTGCAAAGCACAGACCTTCAGGGGAAGCTGTCCGAGGTGTGTGCCCACATCCCGGTGAGCTGGAGAGGGCTGGGAGCCACCTCCTAAGGAACAGGAATACAGGGACACAGGACAGGGGGTGCTGTGCCCGGGATCTGCTCGGGCAGTGACACAGAGCAAGTGCCTCGGTGCAGCTCCTGCTCCATCGTGATGTTTATTGTCCCCTTCCGGCAATTCACGGAGCCCATCCCCTCGCTGGCTTGTGCCAGACCTGGAAAAGCAGCTTCCAGCAGTTGTTTGGCTGTGAGATTCCCTATGAAAGGGATTTTTGGAGATCCTGAGGTTCCCCTCTCACTGGGAAGTGATCTCTTGTCTCTGGTGATACAGCGATAACGGGAGCTTGCTCCTTGGCAGCTTTCCCACAGCTTCCTTTATTTATCTCATCTCTCTTGGCCTGTGTTTTGGCTTTGGTTTGGGGTGTTTTCTGCATGTCCATTTGTTTCTGCCAGAGCTCCCAGCCCTGCACCTCAAGCAGTGGCTCCCTGAGCAGGCGCTGCACCATTGCAGGCTGTAGCACTGCAGCAAGCCCTAGAGCTTTGGTGGCAGCACGGTGGCAGCAGCACTAATCCTGCTGTCTGTCACCCAAAACCTATGCTGGCGCTGAGCTGGGTGCGGTGACAGTTCCCTGGGTTGAGCTTGAAGCCTGTGGGCCCTGATGGTGATGGGTCCATGTCAGCGTGTATAGAAAGGCTGCAGGTGGAGAGCTGGAGTGCAACAGCCCTGACCCACCACAGCTTCAGAGCTGGAGGATGGGGCCAGGGGGGTGAGCACCCGCCACGTGTCGGGCTTTTATCTGCTGCTGGTTCACAGAGTCATGGAATCCTTTGTGTTGAAGGGAGCTTAAAGCTCCTCCAGCTCCAACCCCTGCCCCGGGCAGGGACACCTTCCACTAGAGCAGGTTGCTCCAAGCCCCTGTGTCCAACCTGGCCTTGAACACTCCCAGGGATGGGGCAGCCACAGCTTCTCTGGGCACCCTGTGCCAGCGCCTCAGCACCCTCCCAGGGAAGAGCTGCTGCCTCAGAGCTCATGTCAGTCTCCCCTCTGGCAGGTTCAAGCCATTCCCCTTGTCCTATCTCTACAGGCCCTTGTAGGGATGGATTCAGGTGGGTTCCTCCCAGGTTCATGCCAGGTTGTGCCAGGAGCAAAGTCTCACCAGTGGTGGTGTGACCCGGGGAGCCCTGCCACCATCTGGCAGCACTTCTGCCTGCAGATTGCCCTCTGCCACGTCACCCACTGTGGCTGATTCACTGCTGCTCTCAAGGAGTAGGGGGAAGCAGGCAGGAGGTGCTGACAGGGCTGTCCAGACCCCATCCCATGTGTCTGCAGGACCATGGCTGGTCCATGCATCTGCTCTGTAGTGGTGGCCTTGTTGGGGCTCTGGTGCGGGAGCTGCCTGTGCCCTCAAAGCCGATGGGCTTAGTGTCACTGGGTGCTGTCACCTGGGCTCTCATGCACCCACTGGCACTGGAGCAGCCTGTGCATGTCCTGCCCCTGTGCTGGTGGGTGGCCCATGTTGGGCATAGATTACCTCGAGCCCTGTGCTGCAGTGGGCAAGGTGGCAGCTTGTCCTTGTTATCCTCTTCCTGATGCTGCACTCGAGCTGTGCTGGGGCATCCCCATGTCCTGGTGCATGGGCCAAGCCCACAAAGGAACATCTTCCCCCTCTGAACACATCGACCATGGCACATCCCTGGGTGGAAAGACAGGAGGGCACCGTGATGCCCTGGGTGCATGTGCAACCACCCTGCATGGTGCCACCACTGAGCATGGCTTCCCCTTCCCTGTGAGGGTGCTGAGGCACTGGCCATCCCTGGCAGGGTTCAAGGGCAGGTTGGACACAGGGGCTTGGAGCAACCTGCTCTAGTGGAAGGTGTCCCTGCCTGGGGCAGGCGTTGGAGCTGGAGGAGCTTTAAGGTCCCTTCATCCCAAACCCTTCCCTGCTTCTCGGGCCGCCCCTGCTGAAGGAACG